GAAAGAGTGGATGAAGAAAACCCAGAATTTGAGAGAGACACAAGGAATGGTCATATAGTCGTGGTTCAGTGAAAATAAATACTTGAAACTTTAAGAAATTGTAATATGTTACCATTGTAAATAATTGGAAAGCATTTTTAGGGAGTAACAGAATTTAGCTATGAGCTTTATCAGTTTTTACTGCTCTAATTTGTCAGGTATTATTAACCCCAAATATGCATTTCTTTTAGTTAATGTGTTGTTAATGATGAAAAAATAATAATTTTGGGAACCAGCAGTTAGCGTAATGGCTATGTCACTGGACTCCCACATAATCGACCGCGGTTCATGTCCCGGACCCGGTGGCTTAAAACTCACATCGGGCACATGTGCATGCATGCCCAAGATCCCGAGAGGAGAATGGAGGAGAAGGGATTGCGGCGTGACCATCCCCCCTGGGGGCTGATTTCTCGCTTTCTGTCTCTATGTCTCTCTCTGTCTGTCTGCCGAGTGCACGTGCCCTATAGCGAAAACCTCTCAAAAAAAATTTTTTTTTGTTTTCTGAAGAAAATTTCTCATTTCAAGGTTGCCGAGGAGCCCAGGTAGAAGAAATATGGAGTTTAGAACCTGAGAATTTTGAAAAATTAAAGTAAGTATAATTTTAGTTGTGTTAAAAACAATGTTAATACTTGACCAGACTTTTAAAGGATGCTACTCAGATTTGTCTGTTAATTTTACTTGGCTTACCCTAGGCTAAATACGTTTTCTCCTTTACGTCTGTTTTCAGTCCTGGGGGATAGATAGTACTATTATCACTTTAAAACCAAGAACCCTAGACTCATAAATAAGTAACTTGCAAGAAATTCAAACCTAAGTCTCTGATTCTGTATCCGCAAAGTACTGATTGGTTGATTTTTCACAAAATCCACTTATCACTCAATAGTATTAGGACACGGAATACTTTTTAACATTAAAAAACAGGAGTAATAGGTCAGTCTATGAATCGTATTTCATACATAACAAATATTAATAGTAATTCACAATTTGTCTACACATTAACACATTGCTTCTTGGGAAAGCTGCAGTTCAAGTTCCAAATGTGGGTGCTAGGCAAGATCCTTCCTTTTCCCCCACGTTGCTGACTGGCATGGCCTTCCTGAGCCTCCCCTTGTCCTCACACAGGGACCTCGCATCTGCAGCTGAAGCTTGGGGAGCTTTCATTGGTTGGAGAGTCCTTGGACTCTTAAAATGGCAACAAGGAACAAGCTTTAAAAGAGAAAATAGGGGATTTAGGATTTGGAATATTGCTACTGTTTTTAATAGCAAGAGGTAGTTAGCTTCTTTCTATCTTCCTCTTCCCTGCAAAAAGAACAATCACTTTAGATGAAATGAGAGATCACTGTGGCTGAGACCAGGAACTGTTAATTAGAGATGCGTCATCTGAACTGTCCGCAAAGACGGGCTTAGTTCTGTTGGCACATGTTGGATGCTGTGGCTCAGCAGGCCAGACCACCCTCAAATAGCCAGACGGGGCTTGTGGTCTCAGTTGCTTGGGAAACTGAGGCAGGAAGACCATGTCTAAACACGTTATACACATACACACACACACACATGCAACCACCACCACCTCCCGCTACCAAAAATAAGCTGCAAAGATTTTTGTTGAGTGGAAGGCAGTTATAAAAGCCTGAAAGGAGAACCCTAAACTAGCAGTTTAATGTTTTATGTGCAAAAACAGTCCCTTTAAGAACATCGTGGCTTCATTATGTATGAGTTGAAGCATCTTCATACTGTAGTTTGAGAATTGTTCTTGAGTCTGAAAATTTTATGAAAGTGCATCATATATTTTATAACACTTGCTATCAGCCGTCTAGCTGTAAACATCCTACGTTTATTCACGTGTCTTGGAATTCAGTCAAGTATTAACAATTTTTAGTCTTGCTGTGCTATTTTCTATTTTTAAGTGAGGTAATAAAAGGTAGAAATGAAAAAATAGCCCACATATTTGAGAGTAAGCATTTCATTATAATTCTATTTTAATTTATATAATTTTAAGTTTTATTAGCTTCCTCTAAGGCAACATTCTAGTGACTATGAATAGTAATAGCAATCTTTTAAAAATTTCTCATTTTAACTTAATGTACTTTATTTAGATTGTATCTATTAAATAACTGACTAAAATTTAATGTAGTAACAGTGTGCTATAAAAGAAGCAGGGTTTGGCATCATTAATTTGTATTTTATTTTGTAGGCCAGTTCATGGATTAATTTTTCTTTTCAAGTGGCAGCCAGGAGAAGAACCAGCAGGCTCTGTGGTTCAGGACTCCAGACTTGACACGATATTTTTTGCAAAGCAGGTATGGTCCTTGGATACTCTGATAAGTTTCAAGAGCAGCCCTTTTTATAAAAACAGGGTGCTTGTCTACCTGTGTACCTCAGGTGTGGCAGTCCTTGATTTTTTAGTCTCAGAACTCTTTTACACTTAACAATTATTGAACTCCCTATAGAGTTTTTGCTTATGGGAGTATCTATCAGTATTTACCATATTGAACATAAAAACTGAAACATTTAAAAATACTTAATCAATTGATTTAAAAGTAACAATGAACTTAGTATCTGTTAACATAAATAACATTTTTACATAAAAAATAACATTTACAGACCAGCAGATGGCATAATGGTTACACTGCTGGACTCCCATGTAACCATTGTTGAACTCCCACGTAGTGGACCACAGTTCGAGTCCCAGACCTGGCAGCTTAAAACTCATGCCAGGCATGTGCGTATGCATGCCCAAAATCCCAAGAGGAGAAGAGATTGCAGCATGGCCAACCCCCGTGGGGGGTGATTTCTTGCTCTCTGTCTCTCTGTCAAGTGCATGTACCCTGTAACAAAAATCTCTTAAAAAAATAAAGAAAGAAAGAAGATGAAAATAACATACTTACCAAAACAAAAAATTAGTAAGAATGCACTGTTTTAACACTATTCCAAATCTCCTCATGTCTGACTTTCTAGCACATAGCTAGATTCTCCGGTGTGCTGCTTCATGCATTCTGTTAATGCTTTTTGTTTTGTTTGCCTTTGATTAAAATATCTGAAGAAAATCCAGTCTTATATATGTGTGTAGTTTGAAAGGGAGAGGTGTTATCTTTTTCAGGTAATTGTGATATTCTTTGATACTCTGTCAAGACCTCAGAAGTATTACTTTCTTAAAGGTTAGTTGCAATGTGAAATTTGTACTTTGCTATGTTAAAATTCTTTGTCTTTCAAACAGATCTTTTAATTCTGCATGATTTTGTAACATTGTGCATTGGTCTTTTGGAAAATTCAGGGATTTATGTACATCCAAGTGCAGACACATTTGATATGATTTGATTATATCAACAAGTCATGCTTGTTAATACCACTGTCGATATCATCAGAATGATCATTATCATGAAATTTTAAGCCCACAGTAGTGGATCTAAATTTAATAAAATTTTGTTCTCTTGAAAATTCAAATTTTATCAATGACAGTACATAACATCAGGTGTTTTCTTGTAGCCAAAAACTCATTTCACACATTTTTAAAGAAAATACCTGCCAACTATCCTTATCTGAAAAATCATTTTGTCTGTTATTTGTGCTTTCAAATAAAATTGAAGTTATGAGGAAAAAACTGACAGTTTAGCTCACAGCTCAAATAATCACACCAGTGCCTTTCCTCAAGATAATAGCATATCTTGATGTACAGCAGAACTTCTTTACTTGTACTTCCTATTTCATTCCACAGAATATTAAACACTTGTGCTCCAAGACTGAAATTTAATAAAAATAACTTATAATGTTTTATCAAAGATATTCTTCAGTAGAACTGGAGAATTGCTATGTATGAGTGTCAGTGAAGCAGTTTAACGCCAGTGCTCAGATTCATGCTGCAGTACCAGGAGTTTTTACACAGTTGCTTTTGTGCCATCAGTGCAAATAGGAAAGCAGAGAAAACAAAATGCCGCAGAAACTGCCTTAGATCATGAAGGCGGAGCCAGCCCGTGGTTCAGTGGTACACATTGCTCTGTGATCCAGGCCCACGTGGGCTGGTCCTGGGTTCGTAACCTGAGGCCTCCCTGTACACACTGGCACACAGGATGCACATGTCATCACGGCCTGGGCTGTTTGAGGCTGCAGGAGGCTGGTGGCATCAAGACCCTGTGGAGGGTACCTGTCTGTCTTTTTTTTTTTTTCAGAGACTTTTTCTATAGGGTGCATGTGTTCACCAGAGAGACAAAGAGAGAAAAGGCGAGAAGTCATCCCCAGGAGGGACGGCCACTCTATAACCCCTTCTCCATTCTCCTCTCAGGATTTTGGGCACACACGCACATGTGCCCAGCCTGTGTTTTAAGCCACCAGGGCCAGGACTCAAACCGTGGTCGACTACATGGGAGTCTAGTGATGTAGCCATTACGCCATCTACTGGTCCCTGTCTGTCTCTCTCTTCCTTATGGAAGAGATAAATAAACACAATTAAATTTTATTTATTTATTGTTATTTTTGGCCAGAAGGTGTATGCCCTCTCCAGACAGACAGACAGACAGAGGGAGGGAAAGTAAAAAAACACTCTCCATGGGAGATGGCCTTGCTGCAGTCCCTTCTCACCTCTCACCTTTCTGGACTCTGGGCGTGCATGTACATGCATCCAGCTTGTTTTCCAAGCTACCGGGTCTAGAACTTAAAATGTTCAGCATCTTGAATTTCTGATTATTTCTCTAATGCAAATAAGTCATTTATTTATTTATTTTAATTATTTATTTAATTTAATTTATTTATTCATTCATTTATTTTAATTTGACCAGAGAGATACACAGGGGGAAGGTGGGGCGGGGGAGAAAGAGAGAGATATGGAAAGCGAGAGAGCAAGCCACCAGATCCAGGACTCGAACTGTGGTTGGCTATGTGGGAGTGTCCAGCACCTTAACCACCATGCCACCTGCTGGTCCCAGCAAGTAAGTCATTTATGTATTACCGTGTTTCTCTACTTGAGTATCTTCATTACAATTATAGACCCACCATTGTTTGTGATTTTTGAGATCTGGATAGTGGAGAAAAGATAGCATAGATAGTTTTTTAATTCTTCTGGCGGTTTTTCTCTTTTTTTCAAAATTTTTTTTAATGTACATAAGAATATGTACCCAGGAACAGCAGATGGCATAATGGTTCCATTGCTGGATTCCCATACAGGTGAACACAGTTCAAGTCCTAGACCCAGCAGCCTAAACTCATGCCAGGCACATGTGCATGTGTACCCAAAATCCTGAGGGGAGAATGGAGGAGAACGGATTGCAGTGTGGCCATCCCCCCTGGGAGTGATTTCTTGCTTTCTGTCCCCCTGTCTCTCTGGTGAGCAGATATGCCCTATGGCAAAAATCTCTCCATTAAAAAGCATACCCATTATACAAAATTAAAGCATTATAGAACATAGGATGTAGGAAATAAAAGTGCCTTATAATCCCTATTTCTGAGATAACCACTGAGAACAGTTTCTATTCCTACAGATGTGTGTGTGTGTGTGTGTGTGTGTGTTTAAATGTATTTCTTATAAACCTGGGAGGCAGTGATTTTGTTTTTATATTCAGTCCCTGGCACATAGAAGTATTCAGTAAAAATAGATTGAAGTGATCATCTTTCAAAATATTACAGTTAAATAATGCTGGATTTCACTAACACTAATACACCAATGATGTCTGAATGATAGAGACTTAGCTTATTTATTTGTTTAGAGGTTTTTGCTTTAGGGTGCATGCACTTGCCAGAGAGAGACAGTGAGAGGGAAGGTGAGACGTCTTCCCCCAGGGGATGGCCATGCACAGTCCTTCTCCTTCACTCTCCTGGGATCTTGGGCACTCACACACATGTGCTTGGTGTGAGTTTCAAGCCAGCAGGTCTGGGACTCGAATTACAGTCAGCCGTGTGGGAGTCCAGTGACATAACTGTTATGCCATCTGTTGGCACTTGAGGCCTATTTTTTTTTTGAAGAGGTTTTTTGCTATAGGGCACATACGCTCGCCAGACAGACAGAGAGAGACAGAGACAGAAAGTGAGAAATCACCCCCCAGGGGG